GTCTGGCTCAAAAAAGCCATGTGGTTCTTCACCAATGTAACAGCACAAGTGGCATCACTGGATAATAACGGTAATACTAGTCCAGCTAACCTTGTGAAAGGTGTCAAAGGCCCTACCTGGAAGAGGGATCGTAAGAGGCATCACCACAGGGTGTCCTGAAGCCATGGACACTCCCTAACCCAGTTCACCAACAAGCCACACAGGCTGTGGGAGCACACTGACCACCAGGGGGCAGCTCCTGTGTTGAGCGTCTGCCCCCTGATGGTCAGTGCGCATCATAGTTACCGGCTGGTTGTCCGGTCATAACGGTCGCTTATGCTTTTATATATAGATATATAGAGAGATAACTTTCATTTATCATATCACAGGAGACATTAAAATAATTGTGGGTGATCTGATATTGTCCCTTGCAAGCCACCTTCCTGCCCTGCAGATACACCGCTACCACACAGCTGGGAGAGAAGACTGTAAAATGACAGCAAGACCATATAATTGTCCATCTTTAGCGGCTGGGGGGTGGGGGATGAGTCTTAAAACAAATGATTCCACATGGACAGGAAGGGGCAAAGTTGGTTGCTAAGCTGCAATATAGAAATCAACTAAAAAAAAACCTTCAAGGTAATATTTGAACGCTAACTAACTACCCTTGAGTTAAAATTCCCAAAAGCAAAAGTGATTTAGATCTGAATCTCCTTTGACACAGACATTCTACTTACATGCATATATGGATGCACCACATTTTGTTCATCTGCTGATGAACGTTTGCGCTGTTTCCACTTCTTGGCTATTATGAATGCTGCTGCTATGGAGAAAAGGGTACAAAAAAAGTCTAACCCTGGAAAAGGTTGTCTCTCTCCTATTACTTCTCCCACCCAAACTTTCTCCCCTAAACAGGTAACTACTGTTGAATCTTTCCAGAGGTAATGGATCTTTTTGCAAGCATTCTACACAAATGGAAATCCAAGTATTCTGCGCCTTGCTTTTTTAATTTAAGTATATTAAAGATGGTTTCAGCCCTAGCCGGTTTGGCTCAGTGGATAGAGCGTCAGCCTGCGGACTGAAGGGTCCCAGGTTCGATTCCGGTCAAGGGCATGTACCTTGGTTGCGGGCACATCCCCAGTAGTGAGTGTGCAGGAGGCAGCTGGTCAATGTTTCTCTCTCATCAATGTTTCTAACTCTCTATCCCTCTCCCTTCCTCTCTGTAAAAAATCAATAAAATATATTTTTTTTTAAAAGATGGTTTCATATTGGCACAGAGAGAATAGTCTCTTGTCAGTGGTGCTGGAGTAGTTCACCAGCTACATTTCCCTTTATCTTTTACCCTGTCCCCTACTGATGGGCATTTAGATTGTTTCTTATGTTTGGCCACTGCCAATAATGCCACCACAAAATTATTGTACATGCCTCTGTACATGTATGCAGTATATTCAGTGGGATAAATTCACGTAAATAGATAGTTGGGTCAAAGGGGGCTTAATATAAATCAAATTTTGCTTCCAGGAGATTTTAATTAAGAAAGGTAAAATATAAGAGATTCCAATCTAACCATTGCTTGAATAAAAGGGTATAAAATCAGCAGCATCACTGGAAAATGAGCCATCCACTGCATAATAATTTTTGCTAATATCCTTGAGTTAAAATTCACATAAAATTAAATTCACCCATTTAGAATGCACGATTCAATAGTTTTTAGTGTTAGTAGGCTCACAGAACTTTGCAACAATTCACCACAACCTACACAATCTAAGTTTAGAACTTTGTCATCATACCATAGCACATTCCATGTCACAGCATTTACTCTCAATCCCCACCTCACCCCCTTTCCAGCCCTCGGCGATCACTAATCTGCTTTCTGTCTCTACAGATTTGTCAGTTACAAACATTTTCTATAAACGGATTCATACAACATTTTGTATTCTGTGTTTGGCTTTCACTTGGTATAAAGCTGTTAAGGCTCATCCATACCACAGTGTGTATCAAAACCTCATTCCTTTTCACTGAAGTATAATATTCCACTGTGTGGCTACAGGACATTGTGCTTATCCATTCAGCCCCTAAAGGCCTTTTGGGTTGGTTTGTATTTGGGGGCTGGTACGAATAATGCTGCTATAAGCATTTGTGTCCGAGTGTTTGTGTGGACATGCTTCCATTTCTTGTGGGTACATACCTATGAGTGAGCAAATAACTGAACAGACAGAAACATGCATAAATATTTTTAATGTAAATGTCATCGGAGGAAAAAGGAGAAACCGAAACATCAACGCCAAACACATTAACCAGAAAACTCTAACAACACTCTGATGCCAGAGTACAAGGTTAGATCTTTAAAACCTTCCAAAATATGACCTCTATTTGATAATAAAAATGAATGTAAAAAGTACATAAATGTCCATACACATTAGGTCAAAACGAACCCACCGCTGTCACCAGCCCAGTAAACAGAAGAAACGTTCTGTTGGTTCCAACCGGTGGCCTGCCATGCTCTCCCCTCAGTCCTCCTCCTGGAAAAGTCTCACCTCCCGTGCTCTGTGTGCAACTCCATCCAGTCAACGTGCTCTGAACGTGCACCTTGCTCCATGCACCGTGACAGACAGAAATTCATAAAACCCTTGCCTTCTGGTTCTCAAGAAATTCCAATTTTAGTGGGCTACTTGTTGATAATTCTATGTGGAGATGTTAAGATATAAACCAAAAAAAGCAAACTTTGTTCTCTACAGGGCCACAGAGCAAATATCTCGGGCGCTTACGCCACATATGGCCCCTAATGAATATTCTCTGTCTTCTTTTTTTTTTTTTCTTTACAATCTTTTAGAAACATAAAAACCATTCTTAGCTCAGGGGCCAGATGGGTATAAAACTATACCCACAGAGAACAATTACATGTATAACTTTACCAACTACACATGCTGGATAAAATTTAAAATTCAAAAATATGTGTTATAATTGCCTCAATTCAATTCTGGCTCTTTTATTTTTATTTTTTTTACTAATTGTTTGCTTATTTCCAAGACTCTGTTAATACCAATGTTATTTCTTCCACAGAGGCCTTGGTAATTGGTGAAATAAACTCTTTTTCTGCCCCTAAGTGGCACCTACCCTCCAATTCCCCACTGAAGCTACATTCTGCAAAGCTAGCTGGGATCTTGTGGAATACCAGGTCCTAATAACACACACACACACAATCTCTCCCTGTACTAAACCCTCTGTATTAACGCAAATGGTCTAAGCTACATGGTGAACAAACTTCCAAATCTCAGGGGCTTAATACAACAAACAAACTTTCTTACTGTCCAGTGTGGGCCAATGGGAAGCAGAGGTGGGCTCTACTCCACACAGTCATTCATGGATCAGACTATTGGAGACCCCAATACCTGGAATACAGAGTCCCCAAAGTCACTGTGGCAGGGAAAGAGAAAGCATGCAAGTGGCACACTAGCTTTTAAATGTCTTGACTAGGAATGATACTCAGCCCTTCTGCTTCCGTTTCTTTGGTCAGAACTAATCATATGATCCCACCTCACTGCAAGGGAAGCTGGGAATTGTAGTCTTCCCAGTATGCTCAGAAAGAAGAGCGAGAGCTAAGAGTTCTATAGGAAAAGCTCAAGTAGATGCAGGACTCCAGAAATGACCTCACCAAGGCTGGGTGTGCCTCAAGGATCTCAGTCATACACTAGCATACGACTACTAAGGTGTGGTATGTAGACCACTCATGCCGAAATACATCCACGTTCACCATCCTTAGGCTCCCCAGGCTGCTAAAGCCAGGTCACCATAGCACATTCCTGACCTCAGTGCAGCAGAAATGAACAAGGGTCGCTTACTCATCTCTGGGGTTATGTTATCAGGCTTATCTGATAAACAGTTCCAAGATGAATCAAACTTTAGGTTTATCTAAAGCAGCGGTTCTCAACCTGTGGGTCGCGACCCCCTTGGGGGTCAAACGACCCTTCCACAGGGGTCGGCTAAGACCATTGGAAAACACATATATAATTACATATTGTTTTTGTGATGAATCACTATGCTTTAATTATGTTCAATTTGTAACAATGAAATTGGGGGTCACCACAACATGAGGAACTGTATTAAAGGGTCGCGGCATTCGGAAGGTTGAGAACCACTGATCTAAAGCAATATCACACAATGCTACCAACAGCACATATGCACGGAAATGCATGTCTGAGAACAGGATGAGAATCCAACCGCTAACTGGTCATTTTGACAAAAAAAAAAGACCCTGAGCCCCTCCCTCCAGGACCCCATGCCTCTCCTTCACACCCTCCCCACCCCTGGAGGACACAGCACATAAAGACTATCTTACCTCTGTACACCCACAATGCCGCACTCAGTACTGTGTACCTAGTAAGGTGCTCAACAAACACGTCTTTATTTGAATGAAACCATGAAAGGAAGTGACTCAATGAGACGACAGTGGAAGCTGAGTCCTGTTAGCGCATGGCCTCTCCCATAGCAACATTCCAGGGTTAAAAACCTGGGACAGAGGGAGCTGCGCGTTTCCCAGAAGGACCTGGGAGGCATGCGGGGTGGGTAGCTGAGTTGGACACTGGCTCACAATGCCCCAAGGACACTGACAAATCGCCCAATAATAACCCGTGTGAGTCTCAGATGCCACTCCTCAGCGAGGCTCCAGAAGAGCCAAAGGGAATTATTCATTAGCGAGTGTGAATAACACTGGGTACCACCAGCAGGTTGTGTTTGCCTTTGCTGAATTATTCATGAGCGTTTGTGAGCCATGTACAACCCAAAGGGTGTGTTAAACCCATCCAGATTGTGAGGCAATGTTTGTTTTCTTTCAAAAAGATTTTACTTAAAAAAAAAAAAAATCCCCTCCAAGCTACAGTTCTTGCATTTCAGACCCGTTCTAAATCTGGCTAAACAAGCGGGTGAAGAGTAGCACACCAAGGCAGAAAGGGATATCGGGGACCTTATTGAATATGCATCATGATCATGACAGGCAGTCGACTGAACCAATGCTTGTTTACCTGTCCGCGTCTTGCCTTTTCAGATGTTGCGGGGTCAAAGCCAGTAGGAGCTCTACAATGAGATTCCTAGGTGGAGGGAAAGAAAAGTCCTTTGAGTCCTGTCACAGAGCAGATGCAAATTTAATTACAGCGCGTTAAGCTTTCCATCTTGTCTAGGTGTCCTTGGAAAGCAACTGTAAACAACAGACACTGGGCAATCAGGTGTCAGGGGCTCGTTTGATCTGCTCGGAAATGTCACAGATCCCTGCCAGGACCTGAGTTGGGAAGGGGAACAAAGAGAGAGAACAGAGGGTGTTGCAGGCAGACCTTAGGGGGCGAAGGGGGGGGGCCTATTGGCACTGGGGAGGGCTCCCACTTCCCTGCTCCAGCTTTCCAGAGGACGAGCTCCCGCCCTGACAAAGCTCTCTCATCTCACATTTGTTATACATCCCCCCGTGGTCTGCAGAAACCACCGCCACAACTGGGAGTCCACTGGAGAGGTACTGAGCACAATCACATTCCTCGGCACTGAGAGAAAGCCGGCATGGAGAAATCTGGAAATGAATGCAGAATCTAAACTCAGGTACAAGAGACCGTCTCAGCCAGCAGTCTCCAGGAGCACCTAGGCCTCGCTGCATGCCCGTCTTCTGAGCGCGCCCCTAACTGAATAAGAAGAATGTTCCATTCTATGAAGCTCCGGGCCTGCGCGGAGCTGTCAAGTGTCCTGCTGTTTCCCTGCTAATGGGAGAGGCATGTGCAGGCGAGTGAGAGGAAGTGGTCCCTGCGTGTACGCGATTTGTAATTCTGCAAAGAGCCCGCAGCCTTCCTGAAGGGTGCCCACATCCAGGGCACACTGATCGCTTCCCCGACACAACTACTCACAGCCAAGCCCGGCTTCCAGGGCTGCTCTCCGCTGAGTTCTCTTACAGGAATTTTAAATGTTATTGACTTAAGTCAAACTCTACCCACTTACTCACTGCTATAATGCTGTAACAATTTCCAAATGGAGTGTGTGTGTGTGTGTGTGGGGGGGGGGGGTTCTGAAAGCAACCAAGCTCTATTAAACGTGGAGCAAATTAACCAAACTCTCTGAGCTTTGATTTCCTCATCTCTAAAAGCTGGGGGGGGGGGGGGGGGGGGGAATGGTAGCCGCAGAGGGTTCCTGTGAGGATTACAGAGGATCCTCCATGTTAGTTACAGCCAGGATGATTCTATTATAGGACAGGAAAATTAATATTCATAATGCAATCATTATTTGCCTAGCAACATTAGTCCCATGATAATAAACTGCATTAAAAGTATTCCTAAAGTTCTCTGCAAACGTTACAATTACTTCATTACCTAACATATCAAGATGAACACAGTCGTTCTTTCCTCCCACTTTACCACCTGCCGTGATGAGAGAGCCGCATCAAGCATTCAGTAGGTTTCCAAAGAATTGATCTATTATCTAAATACCAGCCAGGGAGCAAGGAGGAACGGAAGTAGAGGCAACTGGAGTCATCAGAGTGCGGGTCCCCTGCATTTTTTAGTCTCCTGAGGTCTCATCCTCCTTCGGGTTCTTCTAAAAGCCGGGGGCCCAGGAGGAAGGCAAGGACCAAAAGGGGACACCTAGTGGTCAGGGAAGTTAAACAGCAAGTAAGGGTAACCTAGGTGGCTTTACAATCAAGAAAACCTCTTTTTGCCCAGCAGGTATGGCTCAGTGGTTGAGCATCCACCTATGAACCAGGAGGTCACAGTTCCATTACCCATCAGGGCACATGCCCAGGTTGTGGGCTCGATCCCCAGTAGGGGGTGTGCAGGAGGCAGCCAATCAGTGATTCTCTCTCATCATTGATGTTTCTCTCTCCCTCTCTCTCTCTCTCTCTCTCTCTCTCTCTCTCTCTCTCTCTCTCTCTCCCTCCCCCCTCTCCCTCTCCCTTCCTCTCTGAAATCAATTTTTTTTAATTTTTAAAAAATTTCACATGTTCATAAAATATTCTACTCACTTAGCAGAGACATAATAAGGGAATATAATTTATTATAAAATTCTTATTTGCAATTTCTGTCTCCATATATGTTTATAAGTATGCAAAATCCATCAGGATTATAAAACAGATGTAACTGCTGACATCCAGTCACTGTGTCCGGATCTTTAAAAAAAAAACACAAAACTACACTGCACACCCACCCAGGGAACTACACATGTAACATTCAGCTTTGTGGGCTCAGTGACATGAAGTCATTCTAGCTGTCACCACTCCTGTAGAAAAGCAGTAAGACAGGGAAAACACAGGTCTATGTTTCTTGTTAACATTTACCGGGTGATCCTAGGGTTAGAGAGGACACTGCTAAATATTCATGTTGGAACACAAGGCAGGCATATCTTTCTCATTTTGAAAAGGCTGTATCTAGAGTACAGAAGAAAGTCAACATAATTATCTTAATTACTTTAAAACAAGTGGCTTCTGGTCCCTGTATTCTTGTTCCTTTGTATATCTTGGATGGCTCCCTGAAGATCAAATTTTGTATTTGTCCCTCTCTTATATATATATATTGACTTCAGAGAGGAACAGAGAGGGAGAGACAGACAGAAACATCAGTGATGAGAGAGAATCATTGATCGGCTGCCCCCCATTAGGGATCAAGCCAGCAACCCAGGCCTGTGCCCTGACCGGGCATTGAACCGTGACCTCCTGGTTCATAGGTCAACGCTCAACCCCTGAGCCACACTGGCCAGGCTCCCTCTTTTTTTAAACAACAAAAAAAAAAAGGTGTTTTTAATCATATGCACATATCTTAAAGACAATATTACTCTTAGGAGCACTAAGACATACACATGAAGAAGAGTTGCTATCTCATACACTTTACAAGGGTTCATTTTACGTTATGTGAATTACACTTTAATTTTTTTTAATGCAATCATACTAATATAATTTTTTTTAAAAAATGGGGGTGGGGAATAGGGTCTCCACCATAGCTCTAAGTCTCTCATTCAAAAACCCTGAAAGCACTTTTAGATGACTTATTCTTCTGAATATGCCTGCCCCTTCACACACACACCCCCATCCACACACAGACGAGGCATCTCATTTCATCGGCATATTGGACTTTTCATCTATGAAATGACAGCCAGAATATTTTTCTCTGGCTGACTCATAGACGTATGAGAATGAAATGAGAGAGGCGCAAAGATGGACAATAACAAGTGTCAGCAAGGAGGTGAGGCACGGGAACCCTGCGTGCATGGCTAGTGGGGATGTGAGATGATGCAATCGCTTTGGAAAACAGTTTGGCAAATCCTCAGAGAGCTACACGGAGGAACCACGTGACTCAATCATTCCACTCCTAGGTATAGAACCCAAGAGAAATGAAAACATATGCCTGAACAGAAACTGGCTCACGAATGTTTACAGCAGCATTCCTGGACATGGCCCCCGAAAGGGAAACACCTAGATGTCGCCCCGTGATGAATGGGTAAGTAAGATGTGGTCCATCCATGGAATGAGATATTGTTCGGCCACAAAAAGAAATGAAGGATGCATATATTCTGCGACATGGATGGATGCTGAAAACATATGGATTATGCTCAGTAAAAGAAGCCAGCCACCAGAGACCACCTATTTTGGTTCCATTTATATGACGTATCTATGAAAGGCAGATCTATTAGCACGGGGAGTCTATAGGAAGCTGCTCGGGGCTGGGAGGGAGCGGCGTGAATGGGGAAGGACAGCCGGTGAGAAGGGCTTTCTCTCAGAGGAGACAGCTCCACAATTAGACTTCAGGGGGGATGATGGCACAACCCAGTAAATACACAACAACAACAAATCCCAAACATTGACTTGTACATTTTAAATGGGTAAACTGTCTTTGTGTAAATGAAATCTCAATAGACTTGTTTAAAAAAAAAAAAATAGTGCCCCAGCCGGTGTGGCTCAATGGTTGAGTGTCGAGGAGGCGGCCGATCCATGATTCTCTCTCATCATGGATGTTTCTCTCTCTCTCTCTCTCTCCCTCTCCCTTCCTCTGAGATCAATAAACACATTTTTAAAATAAATATAAAACCAAACAGAAAGGGGAGCCCCCTCTAGGGTTTCAGGTCTTGGGGCTCTGCCAATACACTGATTGAGGGTTGTGATTGAAGTCCCTTCCTGTCCTCAAATCTTAGGAAACCAGACTCTTTTATTTTTCCTTCCCCATTCATTCCTTCTACCATTACAAAGCTCCCTCTTCCCCTAGACATCAGGAGAAAAAATGTGAGCCTTCTGCTGGCCTTTTTGTGGTTTTTGCCGCCTGCTGTTATTCTGAGAGGTGAGGGTGTACTCTGCCTCGGGCACCTCTTCTCCCATCCTCACCAGCCAGAAAGAAGAGCAGGTCCTTGCCTTTTAGTGCCTGTTGACACCGCAGCTGATAAAAGCACCATAAGCAGTGTCTGCCCTTAGGTGCCTTAACCTCCACCTGGCCTGGAACAGAGACCTCAGAGTTCCCGCTGGGGCACTGGGCGGGAACTGGAAAGTGATGCGACAGCTCAAGGCCTCAACCAGCAGATCTCAACCAGCTGACAGTTCCTCGAGTGTCTGTTTTGTTCTGGACACCATGGCAGATCCTGAAAATACCAGACATGAATGAAAACACAGCGCTGTCTTCAAGGCGCTCACAGACCGGGCGGTAAATGGCTAACCAGGCACAGTGAGGTAACCGCTAGGGACAAAGCAATCAGAAGAGCCTGGGGGCTACCCTTGAAAACAAGGTCATCTCCTCATTGTCTGGGTGCAGGGAGATGAGAGATGGGGCTCAAGCCCCACTTTTTTCCGGCAGGGGTATCAGGTGTGATGTGATAGGAATGGGGGCGGGGGGCAAGGGGCAGGCCCCACATAATAACAGAAACTCAAACCATGGGAACCGCATAGGGCAGTGATGGCGAACCTATGACACGCGTGTCAGAGGTGACACGCGAACTCATTTTTTTGGTTGATCTTTCTTTGTTAAATGGCATTTAAATATATAAAATAAATATCAAAAATATAAGTCTTTGTTTTACTATGGTTGCAAATATCAAAAAATTTCTATATGTGACACGGCACCAGAGTTAAGTTAGGGTTTTTCAA